TGGGGGAGCCGGGGGGGCCACCCCCCCACCTCTCCCTCTCTCTTCAGTGTAGGTCCAGCCTCAGTTCGGTTTCCTTTGTCCCCATCTTAAATAGGACTTTGCAGAGGTGCTGATGGCCTCAGCCCTGGCCAGAGGGGGATGGAAGGTCTGACCTGGCCAGAGGCTGGTCCAACTGGTTTTGGAGCCGGGGAAGCTTTTTTTATTGCAGCTTCTTACATGGACTATCTCTGCAGCCCCTCGTTTACTATCAAAACCCCATCACATAAACCCAGCACAATGGTTTAGGGCTTCATGTCTTTAGTCATCTTGCATGTGGTATAGAATAGGGGTAGCATGACTGTTGGATGCAAGAGTATCTACCTTGCCCTCCCTCTTAGAGCATACTACCTATAATTTCCAGTGTGAGAATGACTGCAATAGATAAATGAGACAAAAGTAAACAATAACAAAGAGATAACCAAGATACTTTGTTACTGGATTTTTTTTTTTTGTCATTTGTTGACATGTGATGATGAATGTGTGGCAGCGTAGATGGAAACGTGAAATTTAGTTTCAGTTTGTCCAAATCTTGGGACCATTTTCTGTATTACATGTTGATAGGTGATCTGTTATCTGTTGATCCACCAACTTTGCTGCCTAACTGTAAGGCTGTTGGTAAAAGTTGTCTTCTCCATCCAGCTGTGCTCATGAGAAGCATTAACAGCTGACTTATGTGCTGGGAGTTGTTTTTTAAACTCTTTCTAGTCTGTTTTATGCCAAATTAGTCAAGTTAGATCAGAATACCATTTGAAATATTTGAAATTAGTTGGCTGCCCTCACCTAAAATAGATTAGAGAGAGCTCCTAAGTACGGATTCCCAGAAGATTAGAGAAGGTAGTAACTTCCAACAGAGAAACAAACTAAGCAGAAGTTGGTGGTGTTTTCCACTGGCACGTATAGATAAGGAACAGATCCATCAGCAGATCTACCTCTAACACAAGTCCTTCTTACTCCTGCCATTTAGACTTCATTTAAAAATAAACTAGTATCTTTAGAGTTTAAGGGTGCTACAACAGATCATTCTTGTGCTCCTGGAAGTTTGTAGGGCAGAGAAATAATATAGGACGCTTTATGATGTGGCCTTTCCTCACATTCCTGTGCCTCATTCTTTTAATACAGTTCTCTCTTTTTTTTCCTTCTTGGACATCTTTGAAAGAGCTAGGCTTATGCCTGTCATGATTTTTAAATTGATTTAGAGGAGTTTAAGGCAGAAGGGCAGGACATTGTCTCTTTTGTGATTGATATACGAGTTCTTACTGGGTCATTGAGAGTTAAAAAGAAGTTAATCACTGAAATACTTAAAGCAGCTTTAATTGCTGCAATAGCCCGTTTCATTTGTCACAAACCTATTAAAATCTATCCCTTTAGTTGCAAATAATGGGTTGTTTGAATTATTTTTTGATGCTAGTAAGACAGTTTTCCCTCTTGTAGGCACACTGTCTTCCGATGCAGACAGTCTCTTGGTTGAAATTAAGCTGAATCTGTATACATCACTGAGTTGTGATCCTTTAGCATGCAAAATAATAAGACTGAGAATTAACCGAATATGGAATATTACATGTGATATTGTATATCTTCAAAATTATCTACTCAATTTGGAAATATTTGTCAGAAATTACAATTTGTGAAAACTGAATAAAGACTTTTTTATGGTGATTTCTGATAGGAGTTTCCTTCCCCTCCCAGAAATGTACTAGCTTAAAGTAGGTTTATCTCAGCACAAGTAGGTTTTATAAAAGTAACTCACCTTTAAGATTTCTAAATAATGTTTGGCAAAAGTTTAATTGCTCTGCTAGGACACAGTGAAGGTTTGAAATCTACCTTGCGAGAGCTTTGTCTTGAAATATGTCAAAAATAGGTTTTAATAAGGGTGTAAATAACTTTTATCTGGAGATCAAATTCATGCATTAAATTATTTTTCTTGTTTTTACTAGAGAGAGCTAGACTGAAAAGAGTAGTGTTGTCATCTAGGTGCTTTAAACAGGTATAAACCATCAGTTTTCTGTGATAGCCTGTAGAAGGCTTGGTTCTTCAAGTAGGTGTGAGGCTGATCTGACGGCTTAGTAGCTCTTCATTGGAGGCTTTCTCTAAAATTTTTATCACAAGTTGTCAGGAACATCTGAGGACCACTTTGGGTAGTCTCTGTGGTGAGAGATTTCTGTTCAGCAGTCTATAAACGATACCTATTGGAAATGCATGTGTTGTGTAAGCTCAGAGTTTAACATTTGGAAATCTCAGTTTATGGATGCTAGGCAATATGCATTCCAAGCTGTGTAGTCTACCTTCCTCTTCATCTGCCCAGATGAAGGGAACCACCTCTGTTCTGTGTTTTTTTTTTCTGCCCTGCTGCTATTGGCTGTTGTGAACTTTGCCAGTGGAAGCTGTCCACATCTTTTGATGATCTCCTCTGCTAGAACAGACTTGAAAGTATTACGTTTTTCTTTAAGATTTTTTTAATCTTAAAAAATCTTACGTTTAATCTTACGTTTTAATCTTACGTATTTTTTAAGATCTCTACTTGATATCTCAACATTATTGTAAATCATTAAGCCAGCTCATGGACTCAAACACATGCTCTTGGGATTTTTGTGTGTGTGTAATTAACAGCTCTCAATTATGCCGTAGAGGTGGATGCGTATAGAGGAGTAAATTAGGTGTCAGGACAATGAACTATTTTTTTTACTATGTTTAGTACTCTGTAAGACAGCTCTGAAAAATTAAGTATACCACGTGCTAGAGGTTGGTGAATCTGGTGAGCTTCAGGACATATGTGGACTCTTCTTATCCCAGTCAGGTAGATGCAAGATTGCTGCAGTTCTGGATCCCGAAGTCAGGGAGCTACAGAAGTTCTGATTTTTGGAGATAGTGTATGTATGTGAAATGCTTAACATGAGGTTTACTTGCAAATTATGTCTGGGGCTTGTGGCACGTTGCCTTGTAGAAAATTTAGACCTTGCTTGCATACTGCAGTATTTTTTTAAAATGTGATTTTAAAAAGGTTTTAAATTTTTTTTTTTCCTGAAGAATACTACATCCAGTTTTGGAACCCCCAATATGAAAAAGACATCAATAAATGGATCCAGATCAGAGGAGGGCCATTGAAATGGTGGAGGCTGGAGCACTTGCTCTGTGAGGAGAGGCTGGGGAGCTGAGCTTGTCAGTCTGTAGCAGAGATGGCTTTGGGGTTGGGATGGGACCTTAGAGAAGCCCCCACTGCCCATGGGGAGATTATTGAGGAGATGGCACAGGGCAGAAGAATGAGAGACTGCAGGTGTAAGTTGACAGAAGAGGGGCTCAGCCTGGAACACTTTTTCCCCATGGGGACAGTCAGGCAGAGGCACAGGTTGCCCAGAGAGATTGACCAGTCTCCATCCTTGAACAATTTCAAGGGGTGAAACCCTGAGCAGCCTGACTTGACCTCAGAGCTGACCTGCTGTGAGCAGAGATTGGAGCAGAGACCTCCTAAGGTCCCTTTCAGCCTAAGTTGTTCAGTGATTTCATGATGATCTGAGCTTTAAATTGTGCTGTTAACCTGCATGGTTAAAATATATCTTATTACTTAATAAACAGTTTATGGTAAAAGAGTGGTTTGGCTTAGGTCAAACTAGTATAGATGGCCTGACCAGCTAACTTGGATCAGGTCATTACTGAACTACTACGTATTGATGGTAACAGCAACTTGAAGAATTCTATTTAATTTCTCAGTTATGGTTAGCTTGTAAGCACTGATTAAACTTAATTTGTTTCAGATAAATGCAAGTGAAATTCAAAGATTTTCAGATTTTCCATTGTCAAAGAAAACCCTGAAAGGTGAGTGCAAAAGTTTTCTTTGGAAAGTAATTTAAGTAAAAGCGAATGTATTATTTATCTACATCTGAAGATTTTTTTACTTTAGACTAAGTTTGAGGTAAATATTGCTATGTACAATGTTTTCTAAACACTGGAATACATCTCTGGGCAAGAAAAAAATAAAGTGGCTTTTTTCGCTTTTCTTTTCTTTTTTTCTTTTTTTTTCTCCTTCCCCTCCTACACTCTCTCTCCTCTTCTCTCGTTGCCAATACTAGGTTTGCAGGAAGCTCAGTATCGCGTGGTAACGGAAATACAGAGGCAAACCATAGGCTTGGCTTTGCAAGGTAAAGATGTTCTTGGAGCTGCAAAGACTGGATCTGGCAAAACCTTGGCTTTTATTGTCCCAGTAAGTAATTTACGTCCTTCCATTTGTACTTAAACCAAGTTAGTTATCTGGGATGTCAAACAGCTTAGGTTAATAGGTCCTGGGAGAAAAGTTATAATTCAGCTGATCTAGATGTTTGAAGACAGCCAAGATACTAATTTGATAAAACTGCTTGAGGTTCTGAAAGAAGTATGTTTTTGGCTCTAGGAATATTCTGACGCTTTGAAATTCCCTTTTGATCCTTATATTAGTAGACCCTGTGTAATTTAGGAAGTGCTTTGTTTTTCTCTCAGGAATCTGTTTTCCTGGTCCAACTCTAGTTGTCCAATTCTTTTGAAATTTCAAACTATGTATATGAAATAGAATGATGAAATTTCTTAAGTTTCTTAGACTTTTTTTAGATGGGTGGTTTTCACCCCTTTAAAATTTTAGAGTTTTGTCCTTATATAGCAAACTTAAGCTTAGTGATTGTGAACTCCTATTTCCTTGTTGTGTTTTGTGAGGTCCTTGGAAATCACTTCTAGGTGCAAGTGGGAAAACAGAATGAAATCCCCTGTCATGGATAATACATGTTTAACTGTTTTACTCAAGATATCATGCTCTAGATTTTATCTAGAGTGCTTAAAGTGGATACAAACCCCATCATGTTATGATTAGATAAAGGGAAAAATAAATACTGATTCAATTATGGAGTGTTTTTGGTTTAAATACTACTTGTGGTTTTGTGAGCATAAATTTCTCTGGAGCCTATTCTGTCATTAACTGTGAGAACAGTAGTAGGTGTTTCAAGTACCCTCTTGAGAAGATTTATGCTTTATGCTGCTTTTAAAAGTATTTTATTTATTAGTAAAGCATAAAAAAAGTAGGTGGCTTCAAAAAATAGTCTTGTGAACTTGAGAAATAAAAGTGAGATTGCTCAATTAGTTAATCTAGAAGTATGTTATTTTACAAACCTTATTCTAAAATGGTTTTGAGGGAGAAAAGCGATAAAAGAGGAGATGATGGAGATGGATGAAGAGTGAAAAAATAACATTAATTGAATAAGGATGCGTAACAGCCCTCAATATTTCAGAATGTTTCGGGTATTCATACCTATAAAATCTTTGTGTTAGGATTAGCTGAGTAAGACAGTGTTTCTGCAGTATGAATTCATAAGAGGAGGAATAATCCTGGTGTGAGGTGTATGGCACCTTTAGTTAGAATGCTCTGTATGTAGCACGTGTGGATAGTACTGTTTCAAGTCTATAACCAGAATTAAAGTTGCGATAATTGACTTTCTTCTAGTTGCTCATTCTGTTTCTGGATCCCACAAAACCTTATGAACAGGGAATTTTCATGTGTTTTGCTACATCTGATTTCTATTCTTGTATCAGTGATAAAGACTTAATTTCCAGAGTTTGGCAGAGTAGGATTAATTGTGCAGTAAAATGTTTATATTTATCACTCGTTACTGTCTGCCATAGGTTGGTGCTGGGGAGCTTTGCTACAGCAAGTATCATTACCATCAGTTAGAATTGATAGATAATCAAACTATGTGAAACGTACACTGGTGTTTCTTCAAGTCATTTTTTTAATTAGTGTGGCTTTATCTTTTTTTATGACACTTCTTGTTGTTACATATTTTTCTTCTGAGGTTTTTATAATGGAATGTGGTATTTTTTTTTTCAGGCTTTGGAACTCCTGTATCGCCATCAGTGGACTTCAGCTGATGGACTGGGAGTTTTGATAATATCGCCTACCCGGGAGCTGGCATATCAAACCTTCAAGGTTCTGCGTAAAGTAGGAAAGAATCATGAGTTCTCAGCTGGCCTTATCATTGGAGGAAAGGTGTGTCCTGTCTTGGAGACTGCTGTATGGAAGCATAAATGAGTGCTATATTAAGTGCTAGCTGAAGAAGGAAACCCTGGCAGGGAAAAGTCAGGGAAGATAGGAACCTATCAATGACCCACTCGTTTTCCTCTCTGTGTACTATGTGTCTTTTGAAGCTTTTGCACATTTACAGTCTTTTCTGGTTACGTGACTGAATGGACCTTCTTGCCAAACCTTCCAGGACTATCCTGTTAGTTTAGATTATTCTGAAATATTTTTTGCTCAAGCCACAAGTGTAAGCGTACTGAAGAAATTATGATATCTGTAGAAAGAGGAAAGGCTGATCCTTGACTGTTTTTCTAAAAACTCATCAGTAGGTTAAGATGGCGTGACCATCTCTGATACTGGGCTTCTAGTGTGAGCTACTAGAGCTAAGCTGGTTTAACTCCTTTTCAGGATCTGAAAGAAGAGTCTGAAAGAATCCACCACATAAATATGCTAATTTGCACTCCAGGACGGCTTCTACAGCACATGGATGAAACATCATATTTCTATGCATCTGATCTGCAAATGTTGAGTAAGTTTTTTGAGTACTTGAAAGTACTTAAATATTTTGTAACGGTTCATAATTGTGTGGAGCATTTCTATGGGTAAAAAATTTATCCTAGCCAAGGTATGTAGATGAAATGGCATTTAAGTTCATGCATGTACAAATTAGAAAAGAATACAACAAAAACACCCTTTCTTGTGCGTACATTCTCTCAAACAGTTGCTGAGCATGCCTTTCTTAAGATGATAAGTGAGTGAGTTAGTAAGGAATCTAAAAACAAATGTAGTGGCCCGTATAATCCTTCAGACCTGTCTTGGCCAACACTGGCCTTTCCTTTCTGACTATGGCTCTTGTGTTTTTCCTGACATGATAATTAACTATATGGACTAACCATTGCAGTGCGTGTATTTTGGGCCAGTTCTAGAAGACACTTTTCTTTGAGTTTGAAGACAGATTGCTGCTCCTTTCATTGTTTTGTTAGCATTGTTAACGTTGTTTCTTTTCATCCTTCCAACCTGAATAAAAATTTCAGTGTAATGAAATGTTTGCCTGCCACTAAGAACAGCATAATCTTTAGCATAGCTTGAGGAACTTAGAAGCAATTAAGAAGCTAATGAAGCTGACAAAATGTGAAATTACGCTTGCAACACTTAGTACAATTCATGGCAGTTAGACAAGAATTGCATTAAACGTAGACCCTTTTCTTAAAGCTTTGTCTCTGTGGTATCTGTTTATAGCCTGTTTTAATGGTGAATTCAGCTTACCTACAGGAGAGTCTGCTTTGCTCTGTCATCAATGGTACATCACTGCCTTATATTCCATGCTTTTGTTTCAGTTATGGGTTAGGGAGTTTGTAATTTGCAGTCTGTCTGCAAATTGCTGAACTCTACTTGAAATGCTGATCTTTTATGCGTCAGGATGTGAAGCTGAGGGCCGTAGTGCATAGATTAAGGGAAATGCTGTGACTTCTATTGCAGTTTTTTAAAAACCATATTTTATGGAGCACATGAATATCTAAAGAGAATCCTGTCATGTACAGTAATTAATCTCTGTGGTTTAAGTAGGTGTGGATTTTTGTACTATACAGATTTGATGTACCTTTTTTTTAAATATAACTAAAGCTAAAACCAGATTTTCTCAAACTATCTCTCAATTCAGTTCTCGATGAAGCTGATAGAATTCTAGACATGGGGTTTGCTGACACAATGAATGCAATCATAGAAAATCTACCTAAGAAACGCCAGACCTTGCTTTTTTCTGCAACACAAACAAAATCCGTGAAGGATCTTGCACGGCTGAGTCTGAAAGATCCGGAATATGTTTGGGTTCATGAGAAAGCCAAATTCAGGTATGTTGGGATAATTTTTTTTTCTTTTCTGGGGAGGTTAAAGAGATGGTGATCCTACTTAACTGCTTCTCTGACTGTCAGTTCCCTGAATCAGAAGTTATGTCGTGCGTCCTCCTTCCTGCAGTGTCTGATCCTGCTGCATGCCTTCCTGAAAGCAAGGAATTTCCAGATGAGGATACTAGTTCTGACTGATTCATTACAAGGAGGCTGAACCTGCACTTTCTTTGTGGCTCCTCAGGCAGCTTTGCAGACTGGAAATTTTTTTCCTTAGGAGCAAGCCCCAGAGTGAGTTATAGCCTGGACCGAGTAGTGTCTGGGCTGTATCACTCACTTCTGAATTACTACTTTTTTGTTGTTTGACATCCTCGCCTCTTGTGTGTGCATACACTGTACAGAGCCACCAGATACGGTGCACAAACACAATTCTTCTGCGTGCCGTTCATAAATCTGGCTTTCCAAGGAAATGCTTCTCTGTTGGGAAAATGCAGAATGGCAGTCTGATTTATGTATTCAATATTAGGTGCCCAAAAGAAAGCATGTGGCTTTAGTCCCTGTGCAGTAAGTCTCCTGGCTTCCTGATGTGCTGGGTTTACTGTGTACACAAAATAAATTTGTCATGCCATACAATTTGGATGATAATGGGAGGGCCTTGTGAGAATTGAAGTATGTGATCTGCCGTGCTCAAAAAGTTTAATGTGTCACTAAAGGGAAAAAAAGCAGCATGTTGTTTTTTGGCACATTTTTTTTTCTTTTGAAATCTAAGTGAAGAATGTTATTTTGCATTTCTATGGGATCTATCATCTAAGTGTCGAATTGCTTATGAACATGTAAGATTTTTTTTTTTTTTGCTTTTCTATGAAGTATGCATATATTGCCAAATGTAAGATACAGGACAAAGGTGAAGCACAGTGATAAAAATGGCTTCCCAAGAGCAAAGGAGAACTCATCAGCAAAATGAACAGCAGAACCAGGTTGAATCCTGAGGCAGCTTTAACTGTTTGATTTGATTATCTCTGTATTGTACTACAAGTACCATTTTTTAATCAGTAGCGCTATCAAGGCATCTTAAATAAGCGTGATTGTCTGAAGAAATTGAGTGGTTAATAGCCTTTTAGCAGAAGGAGATGTAAAAGTCTAGTATGTAGTCTTGGTTTGAGGACTGACTATGCATCTCTTTCACAAATCTCGCATTTTTTGTCTATTTTAAATTACATTTAATTTTTTAAAAATATGTGGGAGAGTGCAATTGGGTAATAAATGGAATCAAAAAAAGGAAAGTGTTTTTGACTGCATTACTGTGCAATAGGTTACTGCCTTATGAAAACAGTTTCCTCTGAAAGCGAAAGGTGCTATGGCATAATTCTAATTGACTAGCAGAATAAAAACTGGAGCAGTGTCTTGTGCCACCTCGGAGGCTGAAGGTACCTTCAATAAAATAATTTTGAATACCCGTGGTCTGTTTAGGATGAAGCAGAGGAACTATGAGAGCTGAGCATTTAGACTTATTTCAAGGAAAATATGACAAAGGATTTTTTTTTTTTAGTTTATTTCATTTTGTAAAGAACAGTAAGGTGAGTTAAGATGACAGTTCAGAGCTTTACAAAGTCACTTTGCATGTCAGAGTGTGATCAGTACAAGTACATCAATGCTCTTTTTTTGGTGCATGATTAGACTGCTTTGACATTGCCTTAAGCACAAATGATGCTTTAATAGGACTAATAGACAAAATTGCATTTTAAGTCAAGGCAATTTGAATGTCACTACTTAGACATGGAAAGAGTTTGGCTTGCTAGTGGTAAATGAATTTAGAAGTAATGTGAAAAGTCATCCCCTCCTCCCCACTGGCTTTTAGTAAGGAAATTGTTTCATCTTTCAAGAGTAGCTTTCTGGTGGAGCTGTTAAGACTTGTTCCTCAAAGTAGGAGAACTTTCCAGCCTGACTTTTTTTTTTCTTCTTCTCCCCACTTCCTTCTCCTTTTTCTGGGTATTTGTCAGATGCTCTTGATTTAAAAGAAAGGACAAACAGCTCTGTAGGTATTGTATAGCTGTATATTCTCTCTCTTTGCTTCTTTTCTTTCTTATTTTAATATTATGGGAACTAATGGTATCTAAATGTACTTTTTGGTTTGGTGTGTTTTTTTTTTTTTAGTACCCCAGCAACTTTGGATCAGAACTATGTTGTCTGTGAGCTTCAGCAAAAAGTAAACATGTTATACTCTTTCCTGAGAAGTCACTTGAAAAAGAAGATCATTGTGTTCTTTGCAAGCTGTAAAGAGGTATGGCTATTGCCCCCCTTCCCCTGTAGTATTTTAAATCTATTAAAATTAAGGTATTCATATAGATGTCAGGGCACTAGAGAAGTAAGATTCAGGACTAGTTTGCAACAGGAAATTGGGGGAGGAACCAAACATCACCTACTCTTGTAGGCGTGTCGTGCAGGGCCTGGCTGCTGGGAAGCTCAGCGACCCAGGCTCGATGCAGGAAGGTCTTGGAGACCTCAGTGTACTCAGCTATTTTTGTGCTCTGCTGTTAAAAATGAATGCTGAAAGTTATGTCACTAAGGGCCAGCTATTTCAGTTTTGTGTCATGACGCATTTTGTAGTTGGGTTACAGAGCATTTTAATAGTTGTGCTTACTTTTTTACGAGCTTTTAAATCTGCCTGTATAAGAAATTATAACTGTGATATGGCGTAGGGAAAATTTTCTTATGGTTGTATCCAGTATCTACTTGTGTAAATGTCCTGGGACTATTCCATTGAAGTTATTTGTATGTGTTTGTATGGTACAGATATTTATTCCTGTAACTACTACATACATCAAATATTTTGCAACATACAATGGTGTAGTAAATATTCATTGCAGTTCTTCCACTTGTGCAGGGGGTTACAATATTTTTGTGGTTCTGCAGTTGATTGGTGAGTACAGTGAGGTAGTAGACTTAGTTGTACAGCAATTCTTTGAGTTGCAGCTGCTACTGCAATATATGCAGTTTCTGTAACTAAGATCTTAAAAAAATATTAGGTAGCTGCCTGCTATGAAATAATGCTGCATTGTGGTACTGTGTGGAAGGATGAAGACATTGCTTTTATAAGAGAAACTGTTGAAGCTTGAAATAGTAAACTGAGACTGTGTAGACTGCTATGAGTGCAAGCATAAGGCACTGCACCTCTCCGGTGTTGTCTAAAAGCAGTGCTTCTGATGGACTTTTGATGCTTTGGTCCTTTGCGTACAGCCCAACTAGTCATGTCCCAAGTCATTCTTGCTGTTACCTACTCTGGTTGCTTTTAAGAAATATCATCAAAAGGCACACGAGTCTTGTGCCACAGTTAATTTCCTTTTTTAGTAAAGACAAAAGTCTAGACAAAGTCTCAAAATAGCATCTCTTGACTCTGATGTAGAGAAAAGTGTGTTTTATTTGATGTGCTAAGTCAGTTCCTATATACTGGATATGATCTTAGCCAGTTTAACGTTGCACAGTAAATTTTTTTTCCTGATTTGTTGGGTAGGTCCAGTATCTATTCAGAGTGTTCTGTAAGCTTCAGCCTGGTCTTCCTGTACTGGCACTCCATGGCAAGCAGCAGCAGATGAAGAGGATGGAAGTCTACACTTGTTTTGTTCGGAAAAAGGCAGCAGTACTTTTTGCTACAGATATTGCAGCTCGTGGCCTGGGTATGTACCTGCAGAAGCAAAAGTTGTTCACAAAGTCATGATCTAACCTTATTGAGACTTTATCAGACTGTGCTCTGATTTGTAAGAAAGGAAGCTGTAGTTTGCTTAGGAGCTCATTAGGGTATCTCAGAAGAGATGTGCATTTTGGAGTTCTGCTGTCTTTACTGAAGAGGCCCGCTCCATTTGTCTGTAGTTTTTGTTCCAGAAAGACCTATATTGTCACTAGTTTTGTAATGACATTTGTTAGTGGTCAGTGGAAACTGTCTGTTTTTATTCCTAAGTCTGCAGACAATCTAGCTTTTCGAGCCATGTGCCGTGACAAATACCTGGAACTAGAGAAAATGGAAATGGTGACGTATTGACTTAGTACTTTCCTTAAGGCAAGATTTCAGCATTTTTAAGTATTTCCGATATGCCTGTATTCTGTGGGTTACTCCAAAGGATATGAAAAATTACTAACCTACCAGTATGTGGAAATGAAAACTTGAAGGAATTTAAATGTCTGACCTATGAATGGCATTATAGGACTGTATTCTTAAGGAGGCAAAAAAAACAGATGAGGGAAAAAGCAAGAATATGTGTAGGACCAACAGGCTTGGGTTTCTTTCCTCTGGTCATTGTCTGCTGAATTATGATTTACTTCTCTTTATATTTTCTGTGGATACTTTTGGACATTTTTTTTGTTTTTTAGTACTTGGAGGTGTTTAAGTATGATACGACTGTTTTCAGGAGTGTACTCATTCTTCTTTCAGATAGCAAACTCCATTGTCCAAAATGTAAAGTTTTGTCAGTATGCTACAAAAGGAAAGAAGATGCTCTAAAAACTGAAGGCAGAAATGAAACCTGTTTGTCATACCTCCTACACTGCTGAAATCGCACTAGTGAGAGTCTAATGTGCGTATGGTTGTTTGGGTTTGGAGTGTAGGGATAACTGTGGAATTCAGTGTAGCTACAGACTTGGTCAGGAAGTTAACACAGCCTTACTCAAACGCGAAGCTTGCTGCTGCCGGATGAAGTGCTGCAGTTAGAAAATGCTTATTAATAATATAATTCACATTCAGTGTTGACTTCTTTGTCAGGCGTGGTCACCCCCTCCTGTCTTTGAGAGGGACTAGAATTTTTCTGCATGTAGAGAGCTAAAGTAATGCTGTCTTACCACAGCTAGCTTCAAACCCCAGTGGTGTTGGATGTTGATAGTCTATGCGAAAAGTGGGACAGATATTCTTACTTAATTATTAAATGTAGTGGTGTTTCATCATCTGTGCCACACAAAGCATGTCTGCTCTTGTCAAGTGTGAAATTATGTTCCATTCAGTGCACTGTCATAATTTAGGAAATGAAGACACCATTAATTTAGCTTTCTTTGATGAAGAGGGTGATTGTTTATGATATGCTAATAGATGTAATTAATTTTATTTTTATTTCAAAGGTTGCACCCAATGTCTGTGAATTGGTATAAATGATGGTTCTTACAGGAATTAATGCTCCGAAATAATACGTTGCTCTTGTATAGGAGGATTTTGAGTACAATGAGCTAAAATTTTGGCATGTTTCTTCTTTACACAGATTTTCCAGCAGTGAACTGGGTCATTCAGTTTGATTGTCCAGAAGATGCAAACACATACATCCACAGAGTGGGAAGAACAGCCAGGTTTGTTTTCACTTTTCATTAATATTTTAATATTTAAAACTAGATGGCTATAAAATCAAGACATAAATTGGAAAGAAAGAATGGCTATTATCACCAAAAGACCCTTCTGATTACTTAAGAGTAGTGGTTTGACTTAATAATTTCTTAGTGAGCTTCAGAGGCTCCTTACAGCAGCCACAAAAAAACATACTCAGTTGTTCAGTCTGATCAGGGAAGATAAATAGTGAGGAGGTGAAAATCATCTTTTGCACTTGGCAAAATTACCTCAAAGGCTGAGTTGAGCATGTTTGTGGGTGGAAAAGCTTGTTTTGCCACTGACATTTATAGGTAAATAAGGCTTTGGACTGTGGATCGAATTTCTTTGTGTCATTGAAGACTCTTCAAATTTCTTCCTTATTTTAATTTGGATAGGAAGGAATTGAATAATGTTAATTATGGGTTATTTTTTTTAATTTTCTAAGTCTTTTGTAGAATTACGTTTTAGGGATAGCTGTAGTTGAAATGTTTTTGGCTAAGCCTTTATGACAAAAGGGTGTTACCAGGATTACTATTGCAAACCTGGTCCTTGATCGCTGAAATAGATTTTTTTAAGTGAAACAGGAATTGTTATTGCATATAATTCAGTAGATCAAGAACTTTGCAATTATCTGGAGGACGAAGTGCAAAAGCTGGCATTATGTCTTGTACATAATTTAATTTGTTTGTAGCAGGGTTTGCAATATAGGCAGTTGGCAAACCTAATGACAGAACGGTTTCGTAGAATAGGACTTCAGCACTCTGTACTGCAGGAGTTTTAAATCTGTTTTTTTGGATCAGATGGCATTAAATTTTGGTGGCTGTAATAAGAGTGTGTACTTTCAGCCCTCTTTCAGAACGTGGAAGTTCCAGTTGTGTTTTCATTGTAATTGGTAGAGCTTCTGCCCCATTCTTTCCTCTGTTCTCCATTTTCCTATCTACCTGTCATAATAGACGGGAATAATAAAGTTTTAAATGCGTTTGAAAAAAAACCCCACCACTATCAACAAAATCAGCAAATGTTATGTATAATTAGGTAAAACATGTAGCTACTTACATGTAGATTTGAATTAGCCAATCTGATGGGTCTCAGTTGAGAAAAAAAGCTTATGGGCTTGGTTAGAATTTGGGAGTTTTGTTTGTTTTGGTTAGGGTGGTTACTTTTTTTTTTGTGTGGTGTTTCCATCTCCCCCTCCCCCCCCATCCCCCAGCCCAAAATCCAGTGTGGCTTCCACAGAAGGCTTGTAATTTTGTCTTTACGGTGCACTATCACTATGGAAGGGAAAACAATATATTTGGCAGTGTGTAATTGGCGGTTTCTGGAAGGCTTGTTGAGGTCTGTCTGAGCCATGTCACTGATTTAAAGTACCTCCCTGGAGTTACAGTTCTTGACCTTTCCCTGATTCTCATTAAGCACTGAGAAGAGCGATTTGTAAGTAGGTTTAGAGACGGAAGCATCTCCATGAAGACGAGCAACCCCCTTTTCCACAGCGCTTTTGGTAAAATGTCTCTGACGAGGATGTTAGCCTTGCAGCCTTAAGGGTCTGTCTGCAGCTGCCTCTTAAATACAACCTTCTGTGTTTGCTTGAGGGACAGATTTAGGCAGAAAATTGGGGCAGTCTGGCCCACAGGCCACAGGCTGTGCTAAATGCATGCCCCTTGCTTTGCCGGGCTGTCATTTATGTGGATTTTTCAATAGCCAGACCTTGCTGAAATTGAGCGTGTGTCTGAGCAAGTTATTTGAGCTGGCAGGGTAGTGAGTGATAGTGAAAGCAAATTCCTTCTGTAGGAAAAGCTTTACTGGTATTTTGTGTCTCTTAATCTCATACAAAGATCAAGGAAGGTTCTGTCTACACTGAGCTTTCATTTGGAGAAACACGGAGGAGGATCTCTCTGTCCTTAAACTAAAGCAGCCCTGGAAAGATACTCATTTAGTGAACTTAACAGCATGAAACAAATCTTTGAAAATAAAACAAGGGGGATGTCTAATCCCTGTAGGTAAATACTGTGTGCTGAATAAATATGCTAATGCAGTTTTAGATGTGGACAATCGAGAATGTACTTCTCAGTGAACTCCAAATGTTGAGTAGGAAGCTTCACTTGTTTTCAATAGCTACAGTTAGTATGAGAGAAGCTCCTGTTTCTTCTAGAAACTTGATAAAAATGAACTGCAGTTTAGTAGTCCTCATTAACGAGGTTAGAGATAATTACAAATTTTCATGGGTTATGAGAGTGTATAATTGCATGGAATGAAAGCTAAATTAAATATCTCAGCTAATTAAGAGACTGTGTTAGACTGTAATTAAAACTAGGATGCCAAATACTGTTTACTTTTGAAATCAAATTATTTTGTGATACAAAAGTAAATACGAAAGTCAAGAGAGAAATTATGTTGAGGATGAGGTTGAAACCTTTGACTAGCAATTCTGGATGTGTTCTCACACAGTTCTGTTGCACCGTTTTGCAAAGCCTTATCTGAGATGAAAGATAACGATTGATTTTTAAGTGGATAAGACCACCACTGTGTTCCCTAAGTAGCATTTCATTTGCATTTTATCTTACTGAAAAATATAAATTGCAACTCTTGCATTTTTGATTTATAGTAAAGTAAGATCAAGAAAATCTGAGTGCTGTGAGTGCTGTCTGGTAATGCCTTTACTTTATAGTTGAACTGGCATATCTTGAGGAGGGTGTGTTTTTTTATATATATATTTTTTTTTTATTGAAGGGTATGCTACAACTGAAGTGATTGGAAGCTATTTCTTCCAATTGCAATTGGAAATATTTATTTCAAGTCTTAACTAGTTCAGTAACAGAATTTCTAAAATATTGGCAATATCATGGCCATGCTCCTCAATATTTTTAGCTATATTTTTGTCGCACAATCTCTTAGCAAAGGCTGTAATTTAAAATACTAGATCACAGTGTTTTTCTGTGGGTTTTAGTTTTAAAAATTCTAAGTAAATAAGAGCTACTTGTAGCAATTGTCTGCAAAACTAATTTCTTCTGGCTTTTAATTTCCATTGATGCCTTCTGTTCTGTAGCCTATGAAGCCTGCAGTTGGAAATATTCTTTGATCAATTTTGTGAAACAAGTTACAGTGCCACTAGGGGACAGCAGAAGATAATGATTTCTGAAGCACATTGATACTCGCATTTTTCCCCAACTGTTTTTCCAAATGTAACTTGTAAGTTGTGTGGCATGAAAGGAACATATATAGAGATGTTTTTCTTTCAGTTGTGATTGCATCGATAAGTAGAAAAGACACTGAAAAGTCTATTTTATCTTTTTATTCATGCGTAAATATCTTTTATTTTGGATGTACCTGTATCCTGGCACCTCAGTAATTAATTTCTTTATTTCTTAGCATTACATTCCTCCCTCTACTCCATATTTTTTTTTTTCCTTCAGAGGAGACTGTTAAAAACTGTTAGTTGAGTTTAGTGATTTTTCTGTCAAGAGTCTTTTTTTTTAAAAAAGACACTGACAGTGGAATGTTAAACAGAAAGAATAAATCTTTTTGCAGTTTTTATCCGTGGTATGTCCAGAACTTTATATAGGCTTTAGATCTGACTCAGGCTCAGACTTCTGATGGCATTTAATTCAGACTGGTTTCTTTGATGCTTAAGCTGACTTAGGAAAATCACTGTAATTTTGTTGTTGTCGTTAAACGTAGTGTGCATACAGGCATGCATGTTCTGTCTAGCACTGCATATGCTTTTCTCCTCTTGGTAAATTATATTCTGAAAACAAACGGAATAATAGTCCATCCTCCCAGAGCAGGATACTCCATTGCTTACTATCTTTGTACTGGCTGGTGTGATGATTAGAGCTAAGAAGTGTGAGTAAAGGTTTAAAAATCTGTAGTCTTTTGATGCCTTGTGAACAAGAATACACACACATCGAGTTTTGGAAAGCTGAAAGGAGCAGATCATCTAATGATCTTATTCTGTCATGAATTAAAATGCTTTGAAGCATGCTTGTTGGGACTCTCCTTAAATAATTGCACATGATGTGTGTGAAAATGAGACTAATAAGCCTTTATAGTAATCTTTGCAAGTGGCACTAAAGCATTTAAAAATGTGAGTGACTTAATGGAACGATTTTGCAATGCTGGAAGTTTGTGGTGAATGTTGGGTTTTTTTTGGTGTTTTATTTTCAATTGGGAATTATGTCCCAGGGATACATGACTGTATGGTTTATTCGGGACCCAAGACAAGATGACAGCTCCTTGTTTGTTTATTTTTTTGTATTTAAGGCTCACTGAAACACTTTTACCGATGTTTCTGTAGAACTAAATGTGGTGTTTAGACCATCTCATATTGCAGTCAAGTCATTATCCTAACTCAAGTTAAGTAAAAATAGCTGCTAGTGGAGGTCACAAGAAATTGTTGACACCACATATTTAACTTGCAATTCACATTTTAACTTCTCTAAAATGAAACGCTGTACCCTAGCTGCGTTCCTGCCAGTGGCCTGCGATGCCGTGGTTGTACTGACGGGCGCTGTGTTAGCCATTAGAATTTTTTTCATAATGGCACGCTATGAATGTTCCAGTGCACTGAAATATTAAGTGGCTAAGGTTACTACCTGCTGACATGAAGCTATCCTGTAAGCTGTAATAAAAATAAGCACATGTATTTTAATGCAATAGAGTGAACACAGGTGCTGTGGAAAATGGATTGCTTACAGTTTAGGCTTGAGGACCCAACAACCTCCCAAGGCCTTTTGAATTCAATTTATTCTGAGACTAGCATGATGAGGCTGGTGAGCCACTGCCTATTCTTGTCCATTATTTCTTTTGACTAAGTCTGTCTGGCGAACAAGGACACCTAGCCAATACAACTGAATGAAGAGGATTATGGTTTCGTAGTATGAATAAAACCCAGTTGCATAGTTCTCAGAACTTGGCAGTAGATATAAATGGGCTACTGTCCAGACAGGAGAAGGAAAAGGATGTTACATGATAGAAGGAAAACAAAACA